AAAGGGATTGCAAAGGCTGCAGACACGAGATCTGCCGATATTACTGTCTGTTTATAGATATACTCCCAATGTAATATTGCATCGTTAAATGCATGTTTTCATATACTAAATAATTTTATAGTGAAATGTCCATTTTAATCAAATTACTTTGCTTGAGGAATTGTCTCAGTTTGGGGTTATTTAGTAAATAGATCAGAAAATTACACATTTTATTCACCAACTTTAAGTTTGCAAAGTTCACGTTTAGATTGTATTTTATCTACTACTCACTTTGCTCTTCCTGCAGAGCTATGCTTGTTAAAGGACCACTATAGTGCCCTGAGGGTGCCCACACCCTCAGGGTCCTCCACCTGCCAGGCTCTAGTGGGAGGAAGGGGTTAAACTTATTTCTCAAGCGCCAGGCAGGGGACTCTCCTCCTCCATAGCGACGTCATCGGATGAATGTGCATGTGCGGCAGGAGCCGCGCGCATTCAGCCAGTCCATAGGAAAGCATTCTCAATGCTTTCCTATGGACGCTGGCGTCTTCTCACTGTGAAAATCACAGTGAGAAGCGCCTCTAGCTGCTGTCAATGAGAGAGCCACTAGAGGCTGGATTAACCCATAGGTAAACATAGCAGTTTCTCTGAAACTATGTTTACAGCAGGCTGGGTTAACCCTAGATGGACCTGGCACCCAGACCATTTCATTAAGCGGAAGTGGTCTGGGTGCCTAGAGTGGTCCTTTAACAAATCGCAGATTGGGGCTGACTGTATTTAGTGTGATTTCAAATATTGATATCAAGGAATTCTCATCTACCTTGATCTATTTATTTTATTTATCACGTCATCTACTATCAAATTCTAAGTTCATTATCAATGCCTGTAGAATTCCCCTATTTAGCAGTGACTCGTAGATTTATATGTTGGATTGGAGTCTATGGATGTTGGTCTGAAGCTCTACCTTCCGAGGTAGATAAGAGTACCATTAATGCAATAAACAAATCTGTATATATTTTTGACAGGTAGATACTTATTTTGTTGATTCAAAATTACACACATTGGCAGATTGCCTCATTTGACAGTAATCATATTTATTATGTAAAATGTTGGAACCAAAACTGCTTTTGGCTAAAAAAATAATTCTATGTGATGGAATTTTATTGATCAATGTCCAGAGAATCGTACGTTATTAATCTCTAGGGGCTTGTGATCATCTCAGGATGTCTAACACATCCTGGTGTCTGCCTCTCTCCAGGTCCCCTGTCTCAATGATGTTCCCCTGCATTACCTGAAGCCAAACAGCTTGGTGCGGTTTCGCTGTATGATACAGGACATGTTTGATCCGGAGTTTTACATGGGAGTGTTTGAAACGATTGACCCAAAAACTAACTCCAGAGTAAGTCTCATCCTAGAGTTCACACATTTTCACATCAATTTGGAACCTTAAGCATTTTTTTATTAATTCACTTTCTCTTTTTTTTTTTCTGCTCTATTTTTAGTCGCTTCATTTTGGGAAATACAGGGACATTGCAGATTGCCCAGTGAGTGTCCTGACATTAATAAAGTTGTTTTGGTTTCATGCTACATGTTGTTTTTCTGTACAGGAAACACTTGCGTTAAATCAGAATTGGAAAATTTCAGGTAAAATAGCCAAACTTTAAACCTTACTATTTTCACGGATTCTACTACATTGTGATAGGTGTCAGTGGTCATCATTTTGTCTGGATTGTTTTTAATTAAGGGGGAGGAGGGGAGAATTTAATTGTGCAAGTATCTAAAACAAAGTAAGTTTGCAGACTCTTCTCTTTTAATAACCGTAATTAAGGAAGAGTAATTCAGTCCGAACGTAAAAAAAGAGGTCTGGGATAAAGGCTCTAAGAGGGTCATATATATTTATATAAAAAAATTTTTTTTTTTTTTTTTTTTTTTCCTGCAGCAGCAGGAAGTCGATGTAAATTCCAGGAAAACTGTCACCTCTGACAGGCAAACCTTCTATTGCATCCCCATTCCGGGGGAATCAACCTGGGCAAAAGAAATATCCTTTATGGTGAAAAGATGCTTATTATAATCAATTACTAGAAGAGTACCGTAAATTTCATCAACATTCTTCAGAATATGTAAAATTCAATACACAAGTGAAATTTCTAAAAATAAAGTGCTGGTGCTGCAATCACCTTAGTGGATCACAATAACCACTAAACAGAGGTGATAAATTAACAGAATGGTGAGAGCACTCAAAAAGATTGAAATATTACCCAAAATGTAGTAAAATATCTGAAATTAAACCAAAAACAACATAGGGTAATAACGTTATGAATAAGACACTTGTAAAATTCTGTTAGTCTCACTCACATAATTGGAGCCACTTATAAAGCTGGCTTGGACTGCACGCCTTGAGCAAATCACTGCTTGGGTTCTTCCCAAAACTGGATCTGATGTACCACCAGGAACACAGGTTCAGGGGGTTACACAATTCTTTATTACTCCAATAATCAATAAAAATCACAAAGGATTATAAATAAATGAAAATTCTAGGAAAGTCCCATAAAATAGTCCAAAGTAATGCACCTGATGCGTTTTGGCAATGTGCCTTCGTCGGAGGTGATACAGGTGACTCTGGCGTGCAGTCTTTTTTTTAAATCCGTTCTTGGCGCCCTTTTTGCCGCACTTCATGTCCGGGTTTGACGTCTGGACGCGTCCTGCGTCATCACGTCCGACGTCTCTTTACTTCTGGTTGCCAAGACGTGTTAGAACCGTCATAATAGAAAGTTCAATCATGTGGAATATAAATATAGACATGCGCAACAGATGAAGGAAATATCAGCAAGATTAATAATTAGCATATCGGACTACTATATAACAATATTAAAAATACATTTGAAAACATACACATTGTGCCTGCAATATTATAACTTATGTTTTGCTTAAAACACTAATTCTAATTATATATTATAAAGGAGAAATGAAATCTAAGTGCATACATTAAATGGAGATTCAATTCATGAAGGGATAAGAATTCTAAATAAGTAGTAAAATTGGACTAACCACTAAACTGCACTGCAGTCCGAGCCAGCTTTAGAAGTGGCTCCACTGATGTGAGTGAGACTAACAGAATTTTACAAGTGTCTTATTCATAACGTTATTACCCTATGTTTTCTGTTTAATTTCAGATATTTACTAAATTTTGAGTAATATTTCAATCTGAGTGCTCTCACCAGTCTTTCTGTTCTTCATAATATGACTTACTGAACAGCGATTGTGTAGAAGAATTTCCCTAATCTAATTACTGCTTTCCAGCATTACCTATTTCTCCTGTAACATCTGCCCACTGCGGTTCCACCTTGCTCAAAGTAACATTTTGGAGGCAGTTTTTAAAAACTCTATTTTCTGTTTTTGGAGTATGTCTTATTTTTTTGCATATTAATATTTAAATTTATCATTTTTTCAGTTTATTGCAGTGTCAATGTATAGACTGAATTAGGAGTAAGAATTTCATTGTGCTAAAATAAACCTTGCATGGAGCTCTGCTTCCGATGGCACCGTGGGAGTTTAGCCGATACTATTAAAAACATTTTGATGCAATTTTTGCAGTTGACAGCCAGGGTCATCGTATCCCTTGTGATCTTTCTAGATTTGAAGTTTTCTGCTGCCTCTATACTATGAAAATATTAATCATGTATATATTTTTTTTACCTAAGTCTAACGATGTATTAAAAATGTGTACGATGTATGAGAGATCTGCTCTTTGTTTACATCAAAGCGTTATTTAACCGACCACTCCAGACACACACAGCACTAAAAGTGAACAAGTCAGCAAAAACCATTGAGACTGGAGCGTGGCTTTACCAAAGATATTGGGTTTCTCTTTGCTTTTGTCTGTTCTCAGGGCTCTTTTATTCTTTGTTTTTCTTGTAATACATAGTGTTATGTCTGCAGTTGGTCCTATTTGTGACAATATGTAAAAGCACAGATTTTCAGAAGAAATTGGAACTTGTATAATTGTCAGAGTCCTAGGCAGGTATTGCTTGGCTACCCCCCCCCTCCTGTCTTCTCGGCTTCTCATTGAGCTGTACTACAGCTCATTCAGAACCATAGGAAAGCTGTGATTGCGTGATGAGAAGCCTCTGATTGGAGTATTTCCTGGCAAAGACTGAGTCATTCATGTTTTAAGTGGGGTATATCTACTAAATGGTCATGTTAGTGTCCCCTTAATTTTTTTTTTTTTTCAATCCTTAACCTGTAAATCAACGCATACACCAACCTTGGCCAAGCTAGGGCATGTGCATCGACCTCCTACACTCCCAGCCGCCACAAACGCAGCCATGAGGAAGATGATGAAATGAGTCCTTGCAAGGAGCAGAATACAGGTAGCTTGAACATTCTTCAACAAATCCGACACAATCTCTTCATGAAACATGGTCTGGGATGTGGTTTTAAACCAAAACAAAAACCTAAAACAGTGTAATTTAAAAATGTAGTAATAGAGGTTGTATAGAATAACTCCTTCCCTGGTATCTGTATATATGTGCATCATACTCCAGAGATTCACAGCATGTCTTTCATGTAAAAATGACTTGTGCATGTGGGATGTTGCATTAAGTGTATACAGGGTTGGCAAATGCGTGCATCGCCTAAGGCTGCAATCTGGAGCCACCTGTACGTAAAGTCACGGTATGCAAGTTGGGAAATGTTTTATGTTCTAAGCTGCTTTGAGGGAGGTTCTCTTCTGTTGGTCAACTTTATTTTACATTTAAACTATTCCTTCGGTATATCATCACTCTAATATTCAGTTTTGGAGAATATGGGGCTGATAAGCTAAAGATGTACGATTTTAGATTCTGATATATTATAAAGCTCCTAGCTATGGTCTAAGGTTGATCGTTAAGTATATGTCAGTAAGAAAATAAGCAGGATCTATGGTAATCTTAATGCACCTAGAACAGTAAATAGCCACCGGACGCTTTCACTCATTAAAATATGTAATACTTTCATTTAAATATCTGTATGATAAATGTGGGTGCAGTATCACTGGTGTCAGAAAGATAGCGCTACACATTGTCTCCTAGGTTTACTGTTTATGGTTCTTGCTGATTAAATACAATGGGCACCGTGTGTGCAAATTGTCAAATTCACTTTAGCACAGCTGTCAAAGTGGTAAAGGAGGGAAAAGCTCGATTTTTCAACACTCAACTGTTTGACTAATTGAATATAAAGAACAGAGTATTTAAAAAAAAAATATATATATATATTTTTTATTCTGACCTAAAGGAATTTGTATAAAATCCTGCGCAACTCTTTATTGCTGTATATTCTCCAGGATTCAGATACAACTGGCATTGTTAAATGTGACTGTTTTTAGCTGTTTTATATTTTCTTGCTTTGTACAGAGATTGAGTCTCACATAGCATAGTGATGATAGGAGTCGTAGTTCAAATCTTTTCATCTGCTTTTTGTGGATTTGGAAACCAAATTGAATTTATTCTTTGTGCAGAGATGCCGGGTCATTCTATTATGTAGTGTGTGTGTCTCAGTACCTTGTATTTTCACTGTAATTTGTAGTGTGTGTCTCTCATATTTTCACTGTAATTTGATTTCTCTGCTACTTTAGGTGATCACAGATGTGGGGAACCTAAGAGATTAGAAACTGAATCTCACTCTGCACCATCCAGCTGCACCCCTCCAATTGACCTTAATTTCCCCCTTCCTGGGGAGAAAGGGCCAGCCTGCCTAGTAAAGGTAGCCACCTTCTCTACCTTACTGATTACAATCTGATATTGATTGACACTGCAGGCTGTATATTTATACAATATCAATGGTAGTATGGTGCAGGATTGTAGCCAATTTTTTTGATTCCTAGTAGGTAGCCTCTCTTTCATACCACTAGATGTCAGTATTACCATCGAATGTTTTTACAGTGATCAATCTTGTAACCCAACTTGCTATGGAATGTTTCAAAGAAAGAAAAACCTGTTGCAAACTCCTTTAGTAAAGGAAACATTGTATTCAAATGCGTTCAATAATGTATGTGGAAGTGGGCAGCATTTGTATCTCTGGTGTTCAGGATGCAATTCATGACACTGGTGATGTACATGGTTTTAAGACGGGTAGTGTCACTCTCCTCCAGTTGTCATATGGGGAGGGGGATCTTTAAAAATAAATAAATTACAAAGTCACCACAAGTGACGGCGCCGCTTTTAATAACAAAGAAACTGCTTCCCATCATCTGCAAATTTTTTATTTTATTATTTTTATAGAATCTTTCTACCTTTCATGGATTCCTCTTGTTTCTGTGACAGGTTTATGAGACTTGGAACAGCTTTAAAGTAAATGATATTATTGAAGTGTACGGTGTGCTCTCAGTGGATCCTCTTCTAAGTACCATAAGCGATGATTGGTAAG